GCCTTCCCCCTCCCCTCCCCCCTTCCCTAAACATCTGCATATGCCAAGCACAAACGAGAACTGAAAGAACACCAATCCTCCCCCTCCCTCCCCATCCCCCCTCCCCCGCACAAAGCCCCTGCCCAACAGCGCGCACAGCTACCCATCCCTGAACCAAACAAGCCCACGAGTGAGCAGCGTTAGACCGCTCAGCGAGGGGCTGTGCACCACTGTATATCGCTTGGTACCGTACTCACAGAAAACCGCTTTGTAATTGTACTGTATAATGCAGCCCAATATCATCGCTTCGAGAAGATGCATGCACAGGGCGGGGGCGTGGGAAGGAGGATGGGCGGAAACAACAGGTGGAGGGGGTGGGGCAAGGGTAGGGAAATTTGATGGGGTGCTTCAGAGTTTGATGCAAAAACGTATTATTGCACCAGCTCGCCTGGTGCGTTCCAGCCTGGGTTTTTTCCACTGTATCTGTTCAGATCTGTACCTCATCGACAACAATCATTGTAACTATTCTCACTTTTGTGGCTTTTCATAATAGACTTTTTTTTGGAAAACTGGCTTCTGAATCCAGATTGCGGTTTAGAAGCTTTGGTGCAGTTTGGTGTAGAGGAATAAGCAAACGAAAGAAGTCATTTTTATTCAGCGTTTATGCTGGCTGATGCGGGTTTTGATGTCTGGCTTGGCAACTCACGTGGAAACACCTATTCTTCGCGACACCTGAATTATTCAACGGACCAAATACAGTTCTGGAAATTCAGGTAACTTGATCACTTTTAAAGTAACTCAAAAAATACTTGGAAATATTCAACTTGCTGCAATGAAAAAGGCACCGATTACAGTGCTTTAATACCAATTTGTCTAAACTTCCTGGAAGGACCGGTCGTCTTCTGTGCTTTCTGCTCTCCAAGAGAACAGACTGTGCTCATGAATGTATTTGTTTGTGAGTGTGAGTTTGTTACGGATAACGGAACTGAGGAAGCGCTACAACACCTATGACAATTTAGTGCTCTTTCTGAGTACTATGTAGAGTTGTTCTTTGAATCGCACAAACGATATTGTCCTCTCTAGGGATATTCTCCTGAAGTCCGATATCCATGACTGTGAAGGAAGGGGCAAGCTCAGAAAGGGTATGCAGCTTATTTCTGAGGACCAGAAATGGTTTATATTATCACAGCTAAAGTTGCGCAGGCTTATGAAGGAAAAAATATCTTTTAATTGCGGCATCTATTGCCTAAGAATTTAAAGGAATATATGAAAGTGTTGCTGATAAAGAATGTTTACGTAAGGCCACGTTTCTTA